ACAAAAGAGGAGCAGGGGACAAAGGGCTGGGCCACTTGGCTTTAGAACTGAGGTAAAACCGGTCTCCAGTCTCAGGGACCTTAGGTTTCTTTTCTTTTTTTTTTTTTTTTTTTTTTTTGGTTGCTGTTGGGTTTTTTTTGTTTTGTTTTGAGAGACAGAGAGAGACAGCATGAGCAGGGGAGGGTCAGAGAGAGAGGGAGACACATAATCTGAAGCAGGATCCAGGCTCTGAGCTAGCTGTCAGCACAGAGCCCAACACGGGGCTTGAACCCACGAACTGTGACATCATGACCTGAGCTGAAGTCGGACGCCCAACCGACTGATACAGACCAGAGCACAATTTACCTGAGAGGAGTCAGAGGCCTCAGAAGAGGCTGCGCAGGTATCCAGACTCCGTTTCTAGGAGACTGGACCTGAGAAAAGCGGGGATGGCTGTCTACCCAGGCTTACACACAGAAACCGTTGTTTTTATCCTCGCTGCTACAGGTGGGATATGGAAACTGTTCCCTGCCCCAGACGTGACTAACCGGCAACCTGAGTCCATTATGCGCTGCCTCCCTAAACTCGGGTCCCAGCAGATGTTTCCTTTCCTTGCTTCACAGTGGAGTTCGTGAAGCATAACGTTGTGTTTGTCAGGTGATGAGGGAGACTAGGTCTGTGGCGGCACAGACTGGGAGTGGAGTTGTAGGCAAGAGGCCGTCTTCTGCCTCCCGTCACAACTTCGCGTCCGTGTCTCTGCTTTGTAAAGGGCGTGCGCTCAATATGAGAGGTTTCCCTCAGGTTGGTGGAACTCATTCCTCGGCAGGAGCATTTAGCTGGGCTGATGTGTGTTTGTCGCTGACGTTGTAGTTTATGTGGCAGATTCCAGTACTCACGGGAGTCGTCTTCAGTCATGCGCCATAGCGGGTTTAGCCCAGACGCTGGGCCTGTAATTGTAGAGACCAACAGGTGAGGGAGTGTCTCTCTGAACAGGACTACAGCCCAGTACTTCTCACCTGTTGGTGACCTGAGGATGGGGTGAAAGGAAGTAACCTAACTAGCCTTTTGCCTTTTTAAAAAAATCTTTTAAGTTTATTTGAGAAAGAGAGAGCACAAGTTGGGGGGAGGAACAGAGAGAGCGGGAGAAAGAGGGAATCCCAAGCAGGCTTCACACCGTCAGTGCAGAGCCCAGCGCGGGGCTCCAGCTCACACACTCCAAGATGATGACCTGAGCCGAAATCAAGAGTCAGACACTTAACCGACTGACCACCCAGGTACCCCATAGCCTTTTGCTTCTTCTGTCAACACTTGACTGTGAAAGCAGCAGTATTCCTGTGATGCCCCACACTCAGCAGCTTCAGCGCTTAGGGACAGTTTCCCTTGTAGCCATTGTATCCTGCTCATAACTGTCAGTTCAGCTGTTCATATACCTTGATGCCTCCCCACACTGGCCTGACTTCTGCTTCCTCGTCCTTCAAGTCTGGGGAATTAGCTCCTCTTACCCAAGTCCCACCCCAGCCTCCAGGCTGCTCAGGTCCCCTGATCTATTCCCATGACAGCCCCTGTGTGCGTCCACTGCACTGAGCACACTGGGGTGATGTGCTCTATCTGCATTTCTCTGAAATTCTTAAGAGCAGGTGTGGGCTCACATTCATTTTACAATACATTGTCTCTCCCCAGGACCTGGTATTGTGTGTGTTCAGTAAACATTCCTTCTTGTTGAGAACCTTAATGGTGTAAAAGATCTCTGAAAGCCTTATTAGGTACTATAAAGCCTGCATACCAGATCCTTTACTCCCATGGAGCCCTGAGACTCAAACCAGGGCTGACTGCATCTCATTTGGATGTTGTTCCAACAAGCTTGACGGCCTGGTAACTTTAGGCATCAGAAAGGCCATTAATAGGGTGAAGCGATATGCATGTAAACAGAGGGCCTCCTCTCAGCAAAGGCATTTAGTGAGTTAATGGACACGTTTTTATTTTTCTACCTTGTAATATTATTTTAGGTCTTGATTTGATAGGTTGGACCATTACTTTTTGTTAAATCACCATTGTATCTGATTGGCTTGTTCCCCCTTCCGGCTTGCTTCAAGAGCCGTACATAGCCTGAGGGAGGAGAGTTATTCCGGTGGTGCCAGATAGGAAGTTAGAAGTGAAACTCTGAGGGGCGCCTGGGTAGCGTCCAACTTGGGATTAGGTCATGATCTCACTTCATGGGTTCGGGCCCTGTGCTGAGAGCTCAGAGCCTTCGGATTCTGTGTCTCCCTCTCTCTCTGCCCTCCCGCACTCATGCTTGCTCTCAAAAATAAACAAATGTTTAAAAAAAAAAAAGAAACTTTAAATGAAAGGAAATGGCTGTTTTCCACCCCTAAGGCTCATGACCTTGTTACACATCACCGGTGGGTGTGTGTCCCCCCCCCCCCCCCCCCCCCCCCCCCCCCCCCCCCCCCCCCCCCCCCCCCCCCCCCCCCCCCCCCCCCCCCCCCCGCCTCCCCTGACCCTCCTGCTTTTTCTGAGAACCCATCTCCAGGGCTGGCCTGAGGAACAGATGAGAGAGATGAGAAGGCAGTACTTCCTCCCCCAGATTTGGAATTCAGCTCCTGCTCTGGCTTTCAGACTTTAGGAGAATGATTTGGGGGAAACTAGAAATGGATGAAACTGCCCTTACAATACCCTCGTCTTTTTGATGCCTACTGCCTTAGAAACTCTTGCCAAGTACACTGAGTTTTCGCACCCTCAGGAATGGTTGCTTACCTACTGACCCAGTTCCGTAATCAGGTATTTCGAGCTCTTAGAATTCATGTGACTGCCAGTCACAGCCATGAGGAAGGTGAACAGGCCAGTTAACAAAAATGTGTAAGGCTGACCTACTTGTTGAGGGGTGGTTTGGGTGGCTTTACCACTTGAGTCTTCATTGGGTCCCCGTTGGCTGCCCTTCCAAAATGGACACAGCATCATCATTGCAGTGGCCTGTGCATTTGCAGCTCTTGGACATGTCTCCATTGCATACTTAGCCTGCATCCCACTCCACCCTGCCCTGCTCTTTCCACTTGGGTCCTTCCCAAATAAAGAACACCATTGCTCATCAAAGCTTATCCCAACCACATCTGCCACTCCACTTCTCAGTCACACTCAAATGAGTGTGTGTGACACAGACACACTAGCTTAGTCAGACGGCTCACTGTATTTAGCTTTCGGTTGGCTTACACTGGCCTACCTCGAGTTGTTTTGTTATTGTTTGGTTTTTGTTTCTGTGTTTGTGAACTTTGCCATTCCATCTTCACTCTTTTTTTTTTTTTAATTTTTATCTATCTATCTATCTATTAGGAAAGAGTGTGCATGAGTGAGCATGCAAACTGGGGAGGAGCACAGAGAGGGGGAGAGAGAATCCCAAGCAGGTTCCACATTGTCAACACAGAGCCTGATGCAGGGCTCAAACACATAACCGTGAGATCGTGACCTGAGCCGAAATCAAGAGTTGGATGCTCACTCAGGTGCAAACCCCCATCTTCACTCTTAAATTCATGCTTCTCATTAATAGAAGTATCATAGGCCCCGAGGACTTTTTTTTTTTTTTTTTCTGAATTAAGGTCTTACTTAACATCAGGACTAGGAGGTCATGAGTTCTGTTTTCTGATCAGGAAGGCTCGATGAAGCCAACAGTGATGTGGGAGCATGGGCTACACCACACACGAGCTGTGTCCGCTGCTTGCCTGTGGATGGGGGGTAACACCCTGAGCAAAGCTGGGGCACTGAAAACCACAAGGAAAGATGAGTTCTCAGTACACATCCTTTGTGAATTGGCAAGAACTGGTTTCCTACAATATGACATGCCTCCCTCAAAGGATGATGGCTGGCCCTGTGGGGTTATCCTGTAGACCTTTGCTTACATGTCACTCACTCAGAGACACCTCCACTGATCTCCCAGCAGATGACCAGATGTCATTGCTTCCTCCACTTTTTCTTCACAGGACTTACCTGAATTTATAACTTTACTTGTTGATATGACTCCTTGTTTGTTTGTTTGTTTTTAAGCAGTGTCTGTCTCCCCACCAGACTCTCTATGGGCAGAGGTTGTATCTATGTTATACCTGTTTTTGAATCCCCAGAACCTCATTCAGTGCCTAGCGAGCCAGGAACTTCATAAATGTTACTGGAGGGAGTGAGGAAATCCATTGATCTCAGAGGTTCCTGAAACAAAACACTTCATACTTTCAGTCTTGGAGACATCACTTTTCCATTGAGACTTCACATTCCTTTTATTAATAAAGGCACTGTGTTCACACCACATTCTCAGTACTCAGTGCGTTGCATGGGGAGCCGTAAGAGCCCATTTCCTCTGTGGGGTCAAGAGCTCCTACTAAGTGGAGCCAGCATCATGGCAGTCTGCATGTCCCCACTTCTGACTCGGAATCTCCTGATGACCTGAATGGAATTTCTAATGTTGGGGCTACTCTGAGGCTGCTGTTAGACTGCTGTTTGGCAGGCTTGTCTAAAACGTTTTCCTCTTTCTGTGACTGTTCCTTGCCCAAGTGTGAGGACCTGGTTGATGTCCCTTGCACTCTATAATTAACCCTGCATGTTCCAGAGAGCGAGCAGCATGTGTCTTTCCATTTATGTTGCTCTCCTCCACTTTCTAAAGCCCCGTGATCCGGCTAGGGATAGTGCCATGACCCCCACTTTGCTAATGTCTAATGTCCAAACAAATTAAACTCATGGTTACATGGTGTTTAAGTGCTGAGCTGCTTCTAGAACCAAAGGCTTCTGAGACTTTCCTACTTTCATTTACTGCAGAGATCAAGGCTGTGTGGAATTACTTAAAGGAGATCCAGGGGTCACTCCCCTCCATCCTCCCAGACCCTCATGCTTTGCACTATCCCCATCAGAATGTTCCGCTGAGTACCCCCACTCGATGACCTCTTCTCCCCATGCCGCCACCGTTACCACAGGTAACATGATGCTGACCAGATTCTAGGCTAATGGCTACACCACGTTGGATCCTCTCTTGTGTTTGTATCCAGGATCGTCTATTCTTTGTGATGGAGTTTGTGAATGGGGGCGACTTGATGTTTCACATTCAGAAGTCTCGTCGTTTTGATGAAGCACGAGCTCGTTTCTATGCTGCAGAAATCATTTCGGCGCTCATGTTCCTACACGAGAAAGGAATCATCTATAGGTGAGTTTTGGTCACTGGTAACTCCTCTTCTAATTCATCCCGTTTGCTCTCCTGGCTTCATCCACCCTTCTGTTTTTCCTGATAGTCAGTTGAAATCTTTTTAGAATTAAATTCACAAAGATGTGTCCATTAGAATAAATAACCTGGTTTTCCACATTGCCTGCAAACCAGAACTGCCCCCATGTCGTGTTCATAAAACCAGCTTGAACTGCTCCACCGAGACTGTTTGTGAATTCATACAGCCAGACCCTGCAAGGTGCTGAATACATTGTTGCTCACTTTTTCTGTTTTAACATTGGAAGCAATCCATTCCATTTTAAGAATCCATACCTGTACTGAAGAGTGTAGCTAACTCTTGCCCTACATTACCGTGATAAGAATCTTGGTCAGTTGGGGTTATAGCTCCCCAGTCAAGCAACTACGAGGTGAACTGTTGATAAGTAGTGTCCTGCTTGGTAATATTTAACACCTGTAGCCCCTCCCGAATATTGATTCCATGTCATGGCACACAATTTTCTGATTATAATATACTTTGGGCTTAAAATCTGGTGCCACTGTTAGATCTCAAAATGCAAACGGATAGGAGATGAAACTGTCCAGGCACAAGATTGGGGAAGATGGGAAATCTAACAGTGAGTGTTAGACCATGTTTATTCTTATTTTTTTCCCCTGTGGTCAGTGTTTTTCTGCTCTTTACGGAACATTGTAGCTAAGTTGCCATATAAACTGTCTTCCTCTTGAGATGCAATTGTTTCCTTTTGAGAAAAAAAAATCATTTTATGTTAGGAGTATGAATGTCAAAGGAAAAGAATTTCCTGATTTAAATTCGCAGTTTATTAGCCTTGCTAATGCTGTTCCTTTTGTGGGCTCAGAACAGTATTGACATCACTATGAAAGTATGAAAGGGTTTCAGAAACTGAATATCCTTAGATATCTTGGAGTCACAGGAGGAGGAGTGAGGCTAGGAAAGAATTCATCAGGACTGATCAGTGATGCCGATGCTGGAAAGAAGAGAGAAAGCAAACGAAGTATAACAGGCACAATATGGAAATGTTATCTCTGGACAGGACCCTAAAATCTCAACTAGACACAGCCCCTTGTCTCAGCCTCAGCTGTGAGGCAGAGAAATGGGCATAGAGCTTGGAGCCAGGCTGGACACCAGCAGTGGGAATCTTCTGCTTGGATGTGATCAGGAATCTCCAACTCATTCTTCACTCGTGGGTCTGCCACAGGTTGCTGTAGATGGCCTGTGCTTGGAGCTTCCTTGATCAGGCGCTCTGTTCTCCTGGCAGTTCCAGCATGGAAAATTTCCTGTCGTGGCATTCTGCCCAGGGCATGATGGGAGGGGATTGCTGGTGGGGGGGCGGGGAGAGGAGTCTGGTGGTGGAGGGAGTTCAGAGATCTTCCTGATGGTAGCATCAGACTCTGGGCCATGAACTCCGCTTTTGTTCTCCTGTGTGTGGCTTGTCCAACCATCTGTGCTCTGTTTACCCCAGAGAGAGTCTTCCCCACATTGAATTATGACTTCCGTATTTGACAGGGACTTCTGTAAATCCAAAGAATAATATTAATTATGGCAACAAGAGCTACATGGAGCATTTGTGACAGCCAGTCTTTACCTGTATTTCTGCCCTCATCCTTCTAGCACTATTATTATATAACAATAATCTTATTCAAGTTTTAGAAAGGTTCAACAGCCACACTGTTAAGTGGTAGTAAAGACACAATTCAAATTGTATCGTTAGCCACTGGGTTACACTGTCTCCTCAGGAGAGACTTGCACACTTTAACACTAAAGAGGGTGCTTCTTATCCCCCTTCCCGTGATAGGGCAACTTTAATTCATGAAAAGGAGGCAGAGTGTGTGTCTTCATCCACTCGGCCTGCTTTCACAAAATACCACAAGCTGGGTGGCTTGTAAACAACAGAAAGTTATTTCTCACAGTTCTAGAGGCTGGAGGTCCAAGATCAAAGTGGCAGCAGATTCGGCATCTGGTGATAGCCATATTTTCTCTATGTCCTCACATGGCAGAAGGGGTTAGGGAACTCTCTGGAGTCTCTTTTATAAAGGCACTTACCTCATTCATGAGGGTTCCATCCATATGACCTAAGCACCTCTCAAAGGCCCCACAAATACCATCACCTTTGAGGGATAGGATTTCACCATATGAATTTGGGTCAGCGTGGGGAGAGGGGTGGTCAGGAACACAATCATTCAGATGGAAGCAGTGGAAAATAACAATGAGGCCAAAACTCATCTTCTCTGATCTTTGGAGGCTTTGAGTACCACACCACACTGGCGTGAGGTGGCAGGCTTGCTCTCCTGTGCAGGATGTGACCGCCTCTCAGTCCACTTGTTTCATTTGTCTTCAGCTATGGAGGATGGACACTATAGCCTGATGTCTTTTCTGTGAAGCTCTCTCAGCCCACATCTTGAGAAGTTTTATTTAAATCCTTGGCATCGGTGGTTCAGCTTTGAGAATTTATTTTAATTTACTCTTCAGCTTGAATCCCATATGCAGGCTGTAACTGATATGGCTGACTTTGAAGAGAACACATTTAATTAGGATAGATTCAAAAGCTATTTTTATCCTGTGGATTTATTTCACAAGATAATTTAATTCCATTCAGGTTATTGGCCTGAGAGAAGAGTCTTAAGGATAAGCCTTTGAAAGCCAAGTCCTTGGAATTCACACATAGTAAAGGGCACAATTGTGTTGCACAGGGTGTGAATTTGATCCAGAGAGTACAGGGAGAGACTTGGGAGCATCAGACAGCCTCATTTATCATAAATGTCCTAGAATGGCCTTTATGGGAGCCAAAATGGTACCATGGATGATGCCTCTGACCCATCCACATATAGGTATACCTCATTTTATATTTAAAAACTTTGTTTTTGCTTTATTGTAGTCCACAGATAACTGTGGATATAGTGGATATGTATATATCTCACAGTTTTATCATGTAGATATGTGTGTGTGGTTTGTGGCAAACCTGTGTTGAACAAGCCTACCGGTGCCATTTACCCAACAATATTTGCTCACTTTGTGTCTCCATGTCACATTTTGGTAATCCTAAGAACATTTCAGACTTTTTCATTATTATTGTATTTGTTATTGTGATCGGTGACCTTGGATGTTACTATTCTAGTTGTTTTGGGGCTCCATGAACTGCACGCATATGAGATGGCAAACTTGATCCACAAATGTGTGTGTTCTGACTGCTCCATTGACCAACCACTCCACCACCTCTGTCTCTCTCCTTGGGTCTCCCTATTCCCTGAGCAACAGTATGGAAGTTAGTCCAGTTATTAACTGTGGCTTCCAGGTGTTCCAGTGAAAAAAGAAGAGTCATATGTCTCTCACTTTAATCAAAAGGTAGAAATGATTAAGCTTACTGAGGAAGGCATGTTGAAAGCCAAAACAGGATGACAGCTGGGCCTCTTGCATCTGTTAGCCAACTTGTGAATTCAAAGGAAAAGTTGTTGAAGGAAATCAAAAGTGCTAGTCCAATAAACATATGAATGATAAGCAACCAAAAGAGTCTTAATGCTGATACTGAGAAAATTTGAGTGGTCTGGGGAGATCAGACCAGCCACAACATTCCCTTAAGCCAAAGCCTAATCCAAAACAAGGCCCTCACTCTCTTTAATTCTGTAAAGGCTGAGAGAGCTGAGGAAGCTGCAGAAGAAAAGTTTGAAGCTAGCAGAGGGGGTGCAATAGGTTTAAGGAAAGAAGCCATTTCCATAAACATCAAAGTACAAGGTGAACCCCCAAGTGCTAATGTAGAAGATGTAGTGAGTTATCCAGAAGATCTCGTTAAGATAATTAATGAAGGTGGCTACACGAAAAACCAGATTTTCAAAGTAGATGAAACAGCCTTACACGGGAAAAAGATATTATCTAGGACTTTCATTGCTAAAGAGGAGAAGTTCATGCCTGGCTTCAAAGCCTCAAAGGACAGGCTTTGTTAGGGTCCAGTGCAGCTGATGACTTTAAGTTGAAGCCAGTGCTCATTGGCTATTACAATAATCCTCAGACCCTTACAAATTATGTTAATTCTGTGCCTGTGCCCTAGAAATGGAATGACAGCACATCTGTTTACAACATGGTTTACTGAATATTTTAAACCCACTTTTGAGCCCTGCTACTCAGAGAAAAATATTCCTTTCAAAATAGTGCTGCCCTGGGTACAAAATCAATGTACAGAAATCGGTTGCATTTTTATACACCAACAATGAAGCAACAGAGAAATCAAGAAACTGATCCCATTCACAATTGCACAAAAAACCATAAAATACCTCGGAATAAACCTAACCAAGGATACAAGAGATCTGTATGATGAAAACTATAGAAAACTTATGAAGGAAATTGAAGAAGACACAAAGAAATGGAAAAAATTCCATGCTCATGGATAGGAAGAATAAATATAGTTAAGATGTCATTACTACCTAAAGCACTCTACACATTCAGTGCAATTCCAGTCAAAATTGCACCAGCATACTTCTCAAAACTAGAACAAACTATCCAAAAATTTGTATGGAACCACAAAAGACCCCGAATAGCCAAAGTAATCCTGAAAAATAAAACCAAAACGGGAGGGATCACCATCCCAGACTTTAGCCTCTACTACAAAGCTGTCATCATCAAGACAGTATGGTATTGGCACAAAAACAGACCCATAGACCAATGGAACAGAACTGAGAACTCAGAAGTGGACCCAAAAGTATACAGCCAACTAATCTTTGACAAAGCAGGAAAGAATATCCAATGGAAAAAAGACAGCCTTTTTAACAGATGGTGCTGGGAGAATTGGACAGCAACATGCAGAAGAATGAAACTAGATCATTTTCTCACACCATGCACAAAAATCAACTCAAAATGGACAAAGGACCTGAACGTGAGACAGGAAACTATCAACACCCTAGAGGAGAAAGCAGGAAACAACCTCCTTGACCTCCACCGCAGCAACTTCTTACTTGACACATCCCCAAAAGCAAGG